AAAAGTGTGCAAAATTTTTCCGTACATTTTAATGTAGACTTCTGAATTTTCATGTGATTTTGAAAAAGTGTCGGGCCCACAGAACGCCCGGTAGCAGCCCCATCGTTAAGTCGAGTCCCTCCCACCTTTGGGCCCGATATTTCATCGACTTTAGTCATTGCAATGCTTTGCACCTATGACAGGGGCCCAAAGCATACATCAACTATCGGTCTACCTCCATTGCCAGTTATTCAATGGACATTGAGTAGAAAAGTGACAATAAAAAATGTCGGAACATTAAAAACGAGGGGAAAAGCATTTTTGGGGTCTTGAGATATTTCTCCCTTTTTTCCTCTCTTATTCTCCAGGGTATCTTGTGGGCGGAGCGGTGAGCCAAAGGGCCCCCCGAGAAATGGACAGTCAGGAAGACCTTTTTCGAGATGGTTTTTTCAGCCTCTGGACAGGGGCTACAATTGAACACGTGCAAGGGTGAGTCAGACTCTCGGATACGGAATGCTACGATGAGAGATTAGGAGAAAAGATAATTCCATTCTCAGGGATGCTGACCATTTTTTATGGAAAGTTGAGGATTTTTTCCAATTTCAATTCGACCGGAGATGCGGATTTTTCTCATTGTCGAAAATTTAGATTCCACTGAAAATGGTCATTATTTTTTATTTACCCAATATAATAATGGAGGTATATAACAAATTCACGTGAATAAACAATATATTGGGTAATTAAATTAATATGATAGCGTTGAAATCCGATGAAAATCGACTTTTCAGTGTGATTTGGGAATAATCCCTGGCCCTTCAACTCTGAAAAGATGGATTTTCTATTTTTTTAACATCCTTTCGCGGTAATATTTTCTTAGGATTTCCCACAGCGACTTCGACTTTCAAAACTTGCTGGCGAGTCGTGTCCAGAGATTGATCGTTTTTTTGTTCTCCCTTTATCTTTTCTCTTTTTGTACCGTTGATCGCCTCTTCAGGGGGGATACGTCCATTAGAACACGTGCACCACCGTAACAGAACAGAACAAGTGCCCCATCACCGCCCAACAAACCCTCGAGCATTAATGTTAAAAAAAAAGGACGAGAAAAAAAAATATATCGAGTCGTAACCCTCGTTCACTCGGCCTTTCTACCGTACGTGAATCGCTAATGATCCTCGAATTATCAGGAGCTGAAAGGAAGAAGAAATCACGTCGAGAAAATAATTATAAAATAAAAAATTCATCTCTCATTCTTTTTAAAGCCGAGGAGGTGGAATAATGGCGTTTATCAGAAGTACATTTTTTGCAATTGACTGATGATAGGAATAATTTTGTTAATGTTCAAAAACATCAATGTTTTTTTAATGAATTCATCTTGAGATCAAAAGGCAGTAGTTTGACTTTTAAGTTAAAAAGCCAGGTTTTTTATAAATAAACATAGGGAGAGCGCACGTGCTAGGAAGATGGAAAACAGGCGCAGACAAGTATCTCGCACTGTTCTGAAGCCATTCCACCCACTTTTTTCATTTTAACCTTGTTGCATTACGTCAACTCCATGTTATCGTCTTCTTCCCTTATTGAAAGCTGCACCTGGATGATGCAGGCACGAACCTGCACCAGAGGATGAATTTAAAAAAAAGCCATTGCGTGAGAGAGTTTCTTCTCCAAGAAGTCCAAGTGTTCCTTCATAAAAGACATCAAACAAGTCTGAACTTGCACGAGCCGATTTGGTGCACGCAGGTAGTTGCACTGTTTGTTAGAATAAGGGACTGTACAAAGACGATTGCAAAAGTTGTCTGAATCGTTTTTGTGTCGGGATGAAAAAAAAAAGTGGAAGATATCTTTTGGAACGAATTGTCGCCGAGGATTGGTGTCCTATAACCCCTCATTTAGATTCCGGAGCACGTACTCGGGATCGGAGGACAGGAAGTCAACAGAAAGGATGTCCTTTCGTAATTGATTCTGAAAAGGATGAATTCGAAGCGAGACGCGAGACGAAGAAGAAAATGTCACGAAGTCCAAAAAAATTTACACTTTCGAAATCGAAATCCTTTGATAAATGGATTGGAAAAATATTTTTAATTGCTACTCCATTGAGATCGAATTTCCCGTTGCCAGAAAAATCAAGTTAAATCAGGGCTGGAGCTCTGCTCCCTTGACCTACAACTCAACCCTTTACCTGCGAACAATGCCCGCCATAATCCCTCGAACGGGTTAACGGGAACACCAAACAATACCTGAGGAAAGGGTTGCCCGTGGATTCACCTGTGAAAGGGTTGAACACAAGGTACAAAAGGGTCCCCAAATGACTCGAGAGCAAGTGCACAGACCACCGAAGAGTTGTCCCCAATTAAAACCACAATTTTTTCTCAAAAAAAAAATCACGAAATGTTCTACAAAACGAGAATTTCTAGGAATAAAATAGATTTTTTCCGGATTTCTTGAATTGAAAGTACAACCCCATTTTCCCATCTGCGTGGAAAAAATAATGAAAAATATGTGAATCGAAAGGGGCAGCTGCGAAAATCCACTCTTCATCACCGAATACTCGAAAAAAATCGTACATTTCACGTCATCCAGATCCACAGGTGGTAACAGAGAGGAAAAAAAAATGGAGAAAACCCTTGTGAGGGTGGATAAAAAAATAATACTCGCCACAAAGGGCTCTTCCCCTTCTGATTGCATCGAATGGAATCCGTTCACCCGAAACATCGAATTTCCCATTGTACCTCGTTGACCCTTTTTACCTGCATCACCCGTTGGATGAAGAGGTGAGGGTATTTTTTGGTATTAGATGAGGTTGAAGGGCCCCATTCACTTTATTCAGAAAAATAAATCTTAGATATGCATCTCGGGGAGATTTCAATGGGGACTAAATAACGAAATTCCACCGGAGATTTTCGTGATTTTGAATAATATTGCATCCCCCTTTTTTTTGAGCTCAAAGGGATATGGAGAAAAGGGTCCGGTCAAAGGGGGCAATGGGTGCCCTTTATGCTGGGATCATCTTGGACCGGTTCACGTCCACGGGATAAAAGAATTTGGATGGACAACCGGAAAAAATATTTCCATTTTCTATTTCATCATATTATTTCTCTTGGAAATTTTTCCGCCGAATTATTGACGCGATGGAGGAATCCTGATAAAGCTCGGAACATTAAATATTCAAGGGGGCACTTGCCCCCGACATCTATAAATTAACCCCTCAGGCAGAAACTGGGAGTACCCGATCTGGAAAGGTGAAATTCCAATTATGAGAGATTCTTATCAAAAACCGGTGCCTAGCCGCGATTACAGCCGCTATAAACCCGAGAATGAGAAAATACAGTAGTCACTGATTCGTTCTCCCCCATCCCCCCTCGATATCCCCGTGGAATTCCTTCAATTTCCCATTCTCGCCGTCACACCCTTGATAGCTTATCTCCCAAGTGTATTTGGAGGTTAGCGGCGTGTTGAGAGATAACTTATCCATAAAAGTAAACCTCTCCACCGCGTGGAGCCGTGGGAGCGGTGATAATGAAAGAGAGATCATAAATTTCTCGGAAAAATCATACAAAAAAATTAAAACGTCCACCAACCAAACGCTTTTTTAATTAAAAAAAAAAATTCAACAAATCCCGAAATGGAATTTTTTGTGTGAAACAAATTTCAAAGCACCTGAGCGGCAAAAAAATTTAATTCGAAAGATATAAATCGATTAAATTGACGGGGGTTGGAAGGGGGCGAGATAGGGATGGGAGGAGGGGTAACGGGGAGTGATCCCCCTTAAAATCTGATCCCTGAGCGTAACAAAACCCACTCTGCCCCTATCTCTCATCTCAAAAATCGGTACGATTACATGTAGCGTGAAAGGAACGAGTCGAGTTTTGCCACACGTGCAAGAAAGGAAGAGTGGAGTATAAAACTGGTCCTCCAATCCTTGCCCTCCCGTTAAAATAAAAGAAAAATAAAAGGAAGAGAAAAAGGATGAGGATGAGACGAGAAGGAAGACAGAATTGCACCTGCCGTTGACGTCATAAGGGGAACTTCTTGTTTGAACCAAGTGGATCCCTAGAGAGGGGCCCCCGGGGGTCAACCACTACTGTTTCAACGTCTCCACTCATTTATGCATTTCATCCTTCATTTTTATTCACTCGAGATTTTTTCAACTTGACTTCTGGACAAGCATTATTTATATGCTAATGAATGGGGGCAAAATGAATGAGAGGTCTTTGCCTCGGGGATACAGAAATAAACGTAACAACCACTTCTCTTTCTCTCTTCACTCTTTGTTAAGTAATAGTAGTGGTATTGAAAAATTTGCAAATTTACCCCCCTGTAGAAACCACAATTTTATATCCTAAATTCAATGAATTGCATTCATCACGATACATTGTCGGGCATTTTTGCATTTTTGCATTTTTGCATTTTTTCCATCAATTACGTTTTTTTTTATCTCGCACACCTGCGCTTCAATCGATGAATGAATACACGAAAATTATTTATCCATGATAAATCAATTGATTCTGGGACTTTGTGTTATTGGAAATTAATTTACCGAGTTTTCTGTATTTTTACATTTTTTTTTTAATATAATTGAGGTGAAAGTTATGGAAGTATGATTTTTCGTGTAAACTTATCGACTTTTTGTGGTTTTTATTTTGTTCCTTTGGGTTCTTTGGGGTGGTTATCATCGGGGATGAAACCGCGGATGACAAGGGGGACTCTCTGAATTTATATTTGAAGGTGCAAACCGGTTTTAAATTTATTCAGTGGTTCGTGGGCATGTGTAACGAGAGGGTTCTTGTTATTTGGGTGGAGGGTTTCGGGGAAGGTTCAATGGTGATTGTGAACCGGTTGTCAGTTCAAGTTTGATTCAACCCCTTTCTCCATCATCAACTTGTCGCGCAAAACTTTTCATATAATTTCCATTAGTCATGGGATATTTATATCACCTCAAACTCTCTGAATTTTTTGATAAAATTATCCACACAGAATCATAAGAAAATTTTTTAAATATTATATATTAAAAATGTCTGACTTACAGCCTCTGGTGTGACGATCCCCCGACTCCTTCCCACGTTGGAAAATCTACCTGACGTCCGAAGTGAGAGCACTGTAAATTTTCAAAACGAAAAATTATCATTTCAAACAGATGAAAACTCTCGAAATGTCACGTAGCAAGTGCAATACCATGACCCGAGGTTGAAAATTATTCCGTAAGGTTGTTGTATGCAGGTTGCAAGGGCGCATAAAGTTCACCTGTTTAGACAGCGTTGCAAGTGAAAACAAATAGTTTTACGGTGTTGTCTACCTGCAGAGCAAGTTTCCCGGGGTATTTTACGGTGCCGTTTTCTCCCCCAGGGCGATGGGATGAGAGACCTAGAGATTAGAGGGAAATAACTCTCAACTCAGGGGGGCCGACCCTTACTCATCAAATGTGAGTGCTCAGGTGCATTCAGTTTATATTTCATCTCTCACTAAATATTTTTAAAGTTATTTCTTCGCCTCGATAAACCTACTCTCCGATTTTCAATCTTTCGGGGGGTCCAGATTTTTTAAATCTAATTTTAAGTATTTTTTGGAATACGTGAGTTGAAAGAATCAATTAGGGACTTTAAGGATCCTCAAAATTTTTAATTCTTGATTGAATGGAGCGAGGTAATTAAAATTCATGACGACAGAGAAATTCCAGTGAAGCGTGTTGAATATGTCTTGAGAAGTCCTGACAGAAAAAAAAAAATTAATGGCTAGAAAACGTGCCCAACACGTTCTCACGTGTGTGTCTAGACTCGACAAGGGTCGCCATGCAGACGTGTGCACACCCCGTGGGGTTTGACTTTTTTCCTTGGAATCTTTTGGTTTTACCAAGCGAAAAAAAACAAGGGCCCTCCTTAATGACCCAAGGGGTCCGTCGCCAAGAATGCAGGACCCCCAACCAAGATCCTAGGTCGAAAAACATCCCTCCACCACCCAAAGTCCCCTCATTCGAAATTTCCATTTTCAAGAGAACAAAAAAATGTGTAAATAATTCAAAAATCAGGAAGATGTCTCAACCCCCCTTCGGGTAAAAATCTTCAAAACGACTACCCCCCTTTTCCAAATAATTGTGACGATCACAAATCACATTAAATTCTCGTAATCACCACCAAATGAAAAACAAAAACAATCACAAGCTCATTGAATTCTCCACAACCAGCAATGAAGACCCAATAATCCTGTCGAAACGTGTCGCAACAAGTTTCATCCGATGAAAAGAAAAGAAAAAAAAAATAGGTCTTCCCGATCCGAAGAAAAGCTAAGCAAGCAAAGGATCCCCCGCACCCGCAAAGAAAGAAACCGGAGAGTCTGGAAAAGGATCCCCCATTGTGGGGGAGATGCCGCTGGAAACCCTTGGTTGAAGGGCAATGGATGGAGGGGCAAAGAGGGGGGTCAGTGAGGAGAAAGGAGAGCCACCGGGGTTGGATGGGTTAGGGTGGTGTATTGGAGTATACGGCAGATGGTCGGCGTGGACCCTGACGTGGGAAGCACCGAATTCTCCAAGTTCCCACAGCCAGAGTGCACCTGCCTCCCCCACTCCCTACCCCAGAGCCCATCGAGGGCTATATAAACTCCAGGGTAGCTCTCCTTCACCATCATTCGCTCACTAGCGTTCCAAGTAAACCAACCAACCAACCAACCAAGCAATCCATTCCACGATATTCCCAAAAAAGCGAAAGCTTCAAGTTAATATAACATAAAAAATCGTGAAGTGTTTCGTTAAGTGACAGCAATCAACAAACATGGCAACCACCCTGAGCCACGTGTTCGATTACGAGAACGAGTTGAACGACAACCTGTACAATCTCAAGTTGTCAGCTGATAAGAAGATGAGCAACGCCAAACGATTGCGAAAGCTGCTGAAGCCACTGCTCCGCCTGATGAAGAAGCGAAGCAAACATACCATCGCGAAAATTCACCAGAAGGCCGAGCCCCAGCAGGAGATCTTCACTGAGGAAGTTGACAATCAGAACAACAGCAACGAGGCACTGGAGCAGCGTCTTCTTGCTGATCTTGCCAGTGCTGAGGAGGGAGCTGCCATCACAGTGTGTCTTGATGGTCAGATGACAGTGGTACCAGTGGTTCCTGGTCAGTGCTATGTGCCAGTTCACTTTGCCCACACATCAGCCGGTGATTTCTACTGGACAACACTCGCCCTCGCTGACAGTGATCTCTGCTACAAGGAGTGCGCCTTCTCCCAGAATCAACTTCCCGAGATGCAGGTTGCTTGAAGGCCACTGATCATCCCAACAACAATGATCTCTACCTCATCCACAACTGGTACTTGTGGAGACGAAACTACCTGTCAACCACCTCGTGGTGTAGCCGAGACTGCATTCTCATTATCAAACTGTGATTGATTGTTTATAAAAGTTGAAGTTTTCTGAATATTGCTCAAATGATTTGTGTCTCTTGGAGACTTTTTGTATTCACTCGTTCAATTTTTATCATTTGATTTCAGCGGTTATCAGACCGTTTTTTGTGATATTGTAATAGAGTCTTTAGGTTATTTTTTATTGTGATATGGGCAATTGCTCAATGATGTCTTCCATTTCAAACGAATTACATTTATTTTTCATATCGTAAACCTGTTTCATAATTTTTAATATCCTGTCCTCATAGTTTTTAAGGCTCAGTTCCTCTTGTTTTTTTTTTTGTTATCAATTGTCTTCTCGTTTGTTCGTTTTTCTGCTGGTTATCGTCTTCGTCGCTGGGGTTCCAAGTTCTAACGGTTCTTCAAGTTCGTTGGGGCCAACCGACTTTTCACACAATGCACTTCAAGATAAATGAGGGGAAACATCCGAAGAAAGGCCTCCCCTAACTTTCAACCGACGTTTCTTCAAGTTGCCGCCAAAATAACGAATATTTTACAACGAGATTGGCGAGCTCCGGTCAAATTAGGGTGATTAATCATTTGATTTTAATTTCAATTGGATTTAAAGGGCTCGACAGACTTTCACTCGATCCCCTTCTGGGCTCCCACGTTTTCACAATGGAGATATCAATGCAGAGCAGATTCAAAACCAGTTATGCACGCGGAAACGTTTACAATACGCACACGTGTTGTCCATATGGGGGTACACATGCTCGGGAGAGGGGTAATTCGCATGATTTTCCGTGAATGAACTTTGGGGTTTTGATATCACATCTGGTGGAATAATGATGAGATTTTGATGGGTCAAGAAAGGGGATGAAGGGATGAAGAGATGAAAGGGGAGAAATTTATAAAATTTATCAAGCGTTCCACCAAAAAAATTATTGAAAAATTCTCAGGATTCCACTCACAAAATGATGTCTTGTCAATTTTCCATTTTATTTTCACTTCTACCAGAATGATTTATTGTAAAATCTGAATTTTCATATTTTTCCTAATTTCAATTCATTCGAGAATAATAAATGATAAAGTGATAGATTTTTCTATGGAATTCGGTCGGATCAATTGAGCCGGAAATTTGATGTGAATTTCATGAATAAATAGGACAACTTGAATTTATGGAGAGGAGAATTTTTCATGTGGAACATGTGCCAAGATTTGTCAAATCCTGTCACCAGAATTCGGTTAAATTTTTAATCCGTCATCTGCTGTCGATACTTTCCCTCCAATTGCAGTAATCATCCCTCAGTAAATGGGGTAAATCCGCTATTCAATAGGAGAAATTTTTACACCACATGCACGAGGATTTGACAAATCCGGCAATCAAGATTTTACATTTTTTTCTCGTCAGCTGGAGGAAATTGTGGGGAGAAAGGGGTTGACGGAGATATTGAAATATTTACCGGACGCTTTCTCCCAACAGACTCTTGTTATCCCCAACAAATGGGGCAAAACCTCAATTGATTGGAAGGGAAATTTATCTCCGGGAACATGTGTCAAGATTTGTCAAATCCTGCCATCAAAATTCACTTTTGTATTTTTATCCGTCAGCTGTTGACGACACTTTCCCTTCAATTACTGTCATCATCCCTTGGCTAAATTGAACAAATCTAATGGGAGGTGAAATTTTTTTCTGACACATATTCCGAGACCTTTTGATTTCTCAAGGGAAAAATGCCCTCAATTCTGAGGCACAGACAAGAGAAAATTTTCCATTCCGTCAAATCCATTCCTTTTTCAATAATTCTTCCTCTTCTTCCTCTTCTTCCTCTTCTTCCTCTTCTTCCCGATTATAAAAAATCTATTCGACGCTAAATTGGCGGCGATTCCCGGGCAAAATTTCGATTTTCGACTAGATTCATTATGTTCCCCGAAGATGTCGCCCGAAGCCAATCCTCATAGCAGATCTCTAGGATTACCATTCCCCCACCAAAAAATAGATACACCACCGAGTGAAATTTTCCCAAAATCGTCCCATCACCAGGTAAAATCGTGCATTATCCACCGAACATCTCCCAGAAAAAAAAAAAAAAAAAATGTTCCGAAATAAATCAAAAACTACCACGACAGCATTAATTAGCCAGAAAAAGCCACCAATAAATACGAAAAATGTTATTTATCGAGGGCACGTCCAGCACTTTCTCGAAAACGAGGGTCCCGATGGATCGATTACGTAAAATCATTCATCTCCCTTCATTACTCCCCTTCTCCCCCCGTAAATTCACTCATTATACCGTATTTACGCAGCACGTTGTTATTTCGATAAATATCGCGGCGGGTAAAAAAATCGTACGCGAATAAAATTTTAATTTCAAGGGCTAAACGATTAAATTACCATTGTGGGAATGACCTGCCCTGATTACAGTAATTACATTCAATGTTCTTGCATATTGAGAAACATTATGATGTTCACACTACAAAGAACATTTCCAATTTTTAAATGAAACAATTTTTCTACTTGCTCCAATTACAAATATTCCTCCAAAAAATTAATTGCCTCAATGAACTTCTAATTTTCAATCTGTTGCAACGGATGTATACCTATATTTTCAGACTGTACATATTTGTCTCATATTATATATTTCATTGAGAAAGGAGAAAAATTGGAATTCCATGAGAATTCTTGGATTTTGTACAAAAATTCCGTGGGAATGCGCAATTAGTAAATATTCCCAAGCATGTGACTGTAATGACTTCATAATTAACCGGCGTAATGAGGAAAAAACTTTCCCCCAATTCTTGAATGGCGGGCCATGAAATTTCGATGAAAAGACATTTGGAATATTCTTGGAGGTGAGATCGCTCGTTATTCCAGAGAGACACGAGAATCGCTCGTGCCCGGCGCGCGATATCTGTCACCGAAGTGATATAGACCCTCGGTTGACTCTCCATTCTCGAACAATTGGTAAAGAAATTGTCCAATTGCCCCAAAAAAATGCAATTCCTCGATTCTCAAATGGGTGAAATCGAGTGCGACACTTGGGGGAATCGGAGTGACTGGAATACGATCGGTGAAAATTATTTGACAACCCGTCGGTGGTCTATACTTATTCCCCGAGGATGATGACATCGTCGCGACTCATTCCCACGGCCCCGATCGCAATCCATGGGTACTGGTTCCCCGTATGACTCTCTCGTACAAGTACATACAAGAAACTCATGTACACAAGGACACGCGTCTGGGCGTGAAGTTATTTACCAGAGACACGGCGTGTGCCGTACACGCGTTTGTTACCAATCCACCATTACAATTTTCATAATCTAGGAAAATAAAAAAACATTGAAAAAAAAAATATATTTAAATCTCCACCAATTTACGACTTTGCTATGAATATCCAATAAAATTTAATGATCACTTCCGATGATCGATGATGATGTCATGATGAGAATTTTGAGTTGCAATGTTGGTGAGAATGAAAAAAAATGTCTAACGTCGGAATAATCCGCGGGGTCATAAATTGGCGTCGCGCAATATGAGGAAAAACAAAAAAAAAAAGAATTGATAAAAAATTCATCAGCATGACTTGGATGATACCGGAATTATGAGTGAGGATCGTTTCACGGGAATTTTAAACGTCGCGATTTATTTTATTGCGTTGTTACATCTAAAAATAAATTCCCCGTGTTTTTGTTTAATAACCTAGGAGTATGGAAATGCCGGCGAGTTGTGTGAGCCGTCGGGGAATGCAAAGAGATGATGATTACAGACATTGCGCGTTGCCTCGTGCCTAGTGTACGTTTTTACAATGAAACTAACATTGATGTATTTCACTGTAAAACCGTTGAAGCGTTGAGTCGCGTGGACACCGCGTGCCACTTATAAATATTCAAGTTATTCCAATTCTCCCATATTTAATTTTATAACCCAATTAAAAAAAAATATTCCTAGAAAACTCTTCAAATTGCGAGCAAATTTTTTGGAATTCGTAGCAGAATAAATGATCTGGTCTAACCAATTTTTTCATGATGGGAAAAAAAAATGGAAAATTCTGGTTAATTAACTATTCAAAAGATAATAATTTCTTTTATCCATGGAGATCACGAACCGAGACACAAAAGAGTCAATTACCTAGAAAAATAAACCGGACAATGGGGCGAGATGCGAGTGAATAGTGACACGCAAGATCTCATTCAGGACGCCTCCCCGAAAAGATAAAAAAGAGGAAAAATAAGTCGAGAATAAAAAATTCACTGTCGCGTGATCTAACCGTTTCCCCAGCATTATATTTTTTGCAAACATCTCTGGTGTTTATGCAGCCAACGGAAACGAGAGTTGCAAACTCGGGACCAATTTCGCGTCATTCATTTTTTACCCACTTTCAGTAGTCTCAACTTCCGCTGCGTCACAAATTATTTTTAGATGATACAGGGGATGACAGTCATTGGCAGAACGAAACAATAATGTGCCATAAAAAATTTCGAGGAGGAGCTGTCACTTTCTGTGGTACACGACGAGAAATTATGAGAAATTATGTGAAATTTTATCGAAATACATGTTCCCGTATAACTAGGATAACAGAAAATTCTCGAGTCGAATCCTCAAGGAATTGAATTAATAATTATCAAAGAGTTGGGCCTCAACCGCAAAAAGGCCCGATCGAAACGCACGTGCGATTTCCAACCGAGACGGCCTTGGGGATCCAACAAGTGCCACCGTAGAATTTACGAGGTATGCGGAGCCTGAGCTCGAAAATCCCCATCGGATGCCCCAACAAGTACCGAAGGATAGTCAGATCTCAAAAAGTATAATTACACACTCGATATGCGGCCGAGAATAAAGACTCGTAAAGATAAAACCCCATGAATTGCCTCACAACCACTCAACGCTAGTTCCAATAATCACCGGTTAATGGGTCTGCACCCATTAGCCAAAAGCTAGTGTATCCATTACCCCCCGACTAGAATCTAATCGCCAATACTTCAATTGATCAATCAGGGCAAATAATCCCCGAAATTCCCTCGGAAAAATTAATCAATTCCTAATGGGATTCCCCGGAAGGAATCCGTTCGGATCACGTCAAGTAATTTCAAGTTGTCTTGGAGAACCTGAATGAAGTCCCCTGAACTTGATTTAGATCGGGTCAACCGTGACTTGAGTTGAAATAACTCAGTGTGGAATTATTTTTCTCTCAACTTTCAAAATGGCGTCAAAGTTCTCCGAGGTGTTCTTAAGGTAAAGCA